GGGCGCTCCGTGATGCGGCGTGACGCCCCTGAGGGGAGATGCTTTCCCTGCCCGGGAATGGTTCCCTCGTACCGACCCCGGTAGATACTGCCGCTGTCCGTGCCCCAGGGGAAGCTACCCCTGCTCGGAGATGCTGCCTGCCATTCCCCTGTCCCTGCCCCAGACCCTGTCCCTGCTCCTGCCCGTGTCCCTGAACCTGCCTCGGCCGTGCCGCCCCTGTCCCTGCACTGGGGATGCTCCCTACTCCTGTCCTGGGAATGCTGTCCGTGCCCAAGGATGCTGCCTGCCATTACCCAGACCCTGCCCCTGCCTGCTGATGCTCCTTTCCCTTGCCCCTGCCTGGGGATGCTCCTTGCCTCTGCCCCTGCCTGGGGATGCTCCTGCCCCTGCCCTGGGAATGCTGCCCCTGCCCAAGGATGCTGCCTACTTTTCCCCTGCCTCTGCCCCTGCCCAGGGATGCTCCTTGCCCTTGCTCCTGCCCAGGGATACTCCATTCCCTTGCTCCTGTTCCTGCCTGGGGTTGCTCCTGGCCCTTGCGCCTTGCCCTTGCTCCTGCCCAGGGATGCTGCCTGTCCCTGCCCAGCGTTTCTCCTTGCCCTTGCTCCTGCCTAGGGATGCTTGCTGTCCCTGACTGGGGAAGGTGAGGGGCCCTTCCAGAGGCAGGCATGGGACTGAGACCACACACCCTGCATGGAGCTGGGCTGCAGACGGTGCTGGCACCGTGCACAGTGTGTGGGGTCCTGGTGCGTGGTGCACAGTGCAAGGGCCACGCACAGAGCTGGGGCTGTGCACAGTGTTTGTCCCCCAGGCTCATGCCCAGCCTGTGGCAGGTCCTGCTGCTTCACCAGACAAATCCTGCACTGCCCTGCTCGGGCCTGGGGATGCTGCAGAACTTTCTGGCTTTGAAGCCCCCCAGACCCCTGCAGAGTGGGAGTGTGTTGGGAGCAGTGCTTGGGACTGGGTGGGAAGGTTTGTTCTTCCCCTGGTGCACAAAGGGGTTCTGGTGTTAGAGGCATCAGTTTGCCCTGCTGTGTCCTTGCCAGGCTGCTGAACAACGAGGGCTCCTTGCTTGCCTACTCTGGCTATGGGGACACTGATGCCAGGGTCACTGCAGCCATCGCCAGCAACATCTGGGTGGCCTACGACAAAAACGGGCACCAGGCCTTCAATGAGGACAACCTGAAATTCATCCTCATGGACTGCATGGTATGTGGGGCTGGAGCCTGCCCTGCCCTCCCTGGGGCCGTGCCCGTGGTGCCAGGGCCCTGCTGGGGCTGCAGGCCGAGCTGGGGTGCAATGGGTGCTGTTTCTCCCTGGGCAGGAGGGGCGAGTGGCCATCACACGGGTGGCAAACCTGCTGCTCTGCATGTACGCCAAGGAGACGGTCGGGTTTGGGATGCTGAAAGCCAAGGTAAGGGCTGGGGAGGCTGCAGGGCTGCATCCCTGCTCTGGTGTGGGGAGGAGCTGTTGAAGAGGGTTGGGATGGAAGGGCTGGAGGAAGCTGCCGTGCCTGGGACACTCTTTGCACCTTGCAGAGACTCCTCTGTCTCCCTCCCCCCACCGTGACACCTTTTTAAGGTTCTAAACTGAAATATAAATTACAATAAGCAAGCGGGCAGTGGGCACACGTGTTGCAAAACCCACCTGAGCGTGTCTCATGCCATTCTCTGCTTGCAGGCACAGGCACTGGTCCAGTACCTGGAGGAGCCACTCACACAGGTGGCTGCATCGTGAGCAGGCAGTGGAGGCCCTGACAGCATCACCATCACCACTGTGGGTTGGGCATGAGTGGCCCCACGGGCATCACAGAGCTTCAGTGTGGTCTGAAAAATAATGTGACAGGAATCCAGAATCTGGGGTGAATAAAGTGTGTTTGATGCTTGTGTCCATTGTGTCTGTTGTTGGGGGAGCTGAGGGGTAGCACAGCCAGACTGGGCTGTCTTGGTTTCAAAAGGCAGGTGTTTGCTAAGGAATGCAGGAGCTTCTTCTGAAATGGAAAAGGTAAACCACATTTCTCACATTTTTTCCAAATTGCTATAAATTTTAAATTAAGGGGCCCTCAGGCAAAAAAATATGGGAGCAGGGAATAACAGTTTCCTTTAATAGGGAAGAAAATAAAAAGATAAAGAACACAGTAAACTAAAACAACACTGCCAGAGTGAGAACACCACCTGACACCCGGTGGGTCAGGGTGTTGGCAGCAGTCCCGTTGGAAATGTGGCTGCAGCCCTCCTGCAGTGCCAGGTGTGGTTCTGTTGGAGCAAGGATCCTGTAGAAAAGGTGTAGTCTTCTTCTGACAATCCAGGGGAAGAGAGCAGCTATTCCTCTGGGGAAATCCAGTGGAGAAAAGCCGTGCTGGTGTTCCAGAATCTCCACTTTATATCTGAGTAGAATGCTTGGCTCTTCCCTCTGGGCTCACATCTCACACTGGGATGCTGTAGTTCTTATCAGTCATGCAGTGATATTCAATAGCCTGTTATCAGCAGATGTCTCCCCAGTTGTGGAAGAGATAAGGAACACTGCCCACTTAACAGAAGACAACTGCCCTACAGATGGGAAATGGAATACAATTTGTTTGACAATCCAGGACACTGGGCAGTGTTTGGGAGGTGCCCATCGCCCCGGGGAAGGACAAGAGGTTGCAAGGGGCTGTTGTTAAAGGAGAGGGGTTCCAACAGAGCCGAGCCCCGGCCCAGCCCTGCTGGTCACCCTGGGATAGCTGGGG